ATCAATTGGTTTCTAAGTACATGGTGTATCAGTGACCACAAGGCACCAAAGCTTGACTAGTTATTTACATACATTCCGCAATCAAAATATTACGTTGGAATATCCGGTCATCATCAACTTGAAGTATTTCATCTCACTTCAAATTCTTACTTCCAAAGTGATGGTTAACTAGTTGTGTGTGGTTGTGGTTTGTGTCTATGATGTCATTTCGCACTGTCGTACTACATGTTCTTGGTTTAACAATATGATTTTACTTTAATTCAAATTCTTACGGTTTATTAAAAAATGTCTTCCCAGCCGAATCTCAAGAGAACTGAAATAATAAAATTTAACAAACGATAACGTGCAATATATGGTAATGAAAATGATCTATGACATGACAACTAGTCTTCGAAACATCAAAAGAAAATGTTACGATGGACAACATGCATCGCACATTAATTCTATTCTCATCCAAGCACCACTGAAATTCGTCGAAATAAGGTACTTACACAAATATCTACTAAACTCGTACATCAAACCATAGAAACTATCAAATCTTCCATCGATCTTCTGAATTCCTTTAATGAAAATAAACAACATGAAAATCAACAGATTGACTTGTTTCATTGAATATGGAAAAAACAAGACAATCACTCATTGCTAACAAGTTCTCAAGCAACACATTATTGCAAGTTGACGCTTTTGTCATGATAACTACTAGATGGACAAGTCACCTTACCATACACTGACCTCATTACACTATGAAATTGAACAAACAGCAAAGATTTGTCTTACCTTCAATGTATTGTGTTGGTACATTGACGTAACACGCTGAACCATTGCGAATATTTACTTCCACTGTTCAATTGAGAAAAGGAAGTAACGTGAAACACATATTCAGCGACATGATAATATTATATCAAACTGATGCTCATTGACTTAGTTACGCGAATCACATGTCATTTTGTGTTCAAATATTTGTACACGAAGTTACTGGAAGTATGTTTGTGCAGTGATAATTCAAAATATGCAGGCAGGTGAATGATGGACACCGTTGTTCAATTAGGAAACAGAATTGGTGGAGCAACGTCCTTATCCTTATTCTCTAATAAATGGATAAACAAAAGTTAGTGACCAGCATCGCGATGGCTTCCTGTCTGAAATCATCTGTACTATCACGATTGAATTTGTTACCAAATTATACGTACGTGTATTTTCAACTCAGTTCACAACCAGTTGTATATTTCACTGTTTACCACAGACTGTTCACCTTCTCATCCAGTGACTACTACACTTTTGTTGTCAGAACCTATTTCAACTTCTCATGTATGCATAATGACAACAATGCAACTAGAGAGAAAATATCTTTAATATGAATTATTAAACTGCAAAATGTCGAGGGACACAGGCGTGAGAGAACATTCTGAAACTATATCACTCACTTTGATGAAGCTTCTTCTGTTCTTCAAAGCAGCTGATGAATTCAGTGAAGTTATAGTTGCTAACTAGGGCTGTTGAAGTAGATAAATTTGAAACATTCGTCGAATTACTAAAATGACCACTCTTTTCAAAAATGTAATCAACTATCTTATGTGTAAGACTAATTGACCACAGATTATGGATGTACAATAGACTAAACTGAAAACTTACGACTTTTGAATTTGTTGACTTTAATGGTTTCAATGGTCTCTGAAAGTGCATGATCAAGGAATTCTATGTTCTATGATTATAATAACGGTAATATTAAATTCACAATAAAAGCTCATTCAGTGAAAATACAACGAAGAATTCCGTAGATTACCGCATCATTCACAGATCTCATTCATCAGGTATTAGAATCAAATATTAGATATGTGACACATAACCCGATTAGTCATAAGAAAGTAATACTGTGCTGCATTCAATAAAAATTTGAATCTTCCGCAGGAGTCATAATCGATCAATTAACTAGAATTATTAGTTAGAATCAGTATTCGTTTGCATAAATCACCACCACCTCTAACTTAACATTGAGGCCATACCGTTGATTATTGTATTCACAATGACCAACGTCTTGAGGCTTAGTATGCCTATTTATTTTAATGGTTCACGATACGGTTTATGCTGACTTTGAACTGAAAGGCTTTTGTAAATTCTCTGTATTTAGCGATGATGATGATGATGATGATGATGATGATAGTTATAATAATAATAAATACATTGGTGATGATTTTCTGAACATTTGTTTGATCGTGCATTTTAGAAAATTCACTGGTTTAAATGTCTGATCATAGAACGTTTCAAACCGCGACTGAAAATAGTATGAAGCGAGTATTGAAATATGTTTCAATCTATTCATCCCTCACGATAAATTCGGTGGCTAACGTCGAAGGATGGTGATGGAGATAGAGTGTAGAACCTGATCTCCATCGAATTGATTGTTTCGACAAACCACGTCTAGCTAATGTCAACGGAAATGTCGAGTGATTTAATTTCGGTTTTGTGTATTCCGAATATTGAAAATCATTAAACTAAATACACAAAACAAGACAGATAAAATTAATGGCGTAGGCATTAAGGCAAGTTTCACGGTGAGAAATGAATACATCACAGAACATAAATATGCCACTATATAGTAACGGCCAATGAAACAAACCTAAATTCCACATCTTATAACCTGCATAGACTGGTAAGCTGAGTTTCGATAAATAATCCACCATATTACAATGAATACCCACAACTTTTATTGCATCAAAAGAAAAGTAGTTTTCGGTCAATAACATACCACTGAAAGTTCTTGCTCCTTGTTTACTTTCATAAAACATGCGTCGACATTCGATCACTAAATTTATAAAAAATTAATCGTTTCAACATTACTATTCGATAACCTACCTTCATCAAACTGCACACCGTGACTTTTGAAATTCGCTTTGATTTCCTCTATAAACCAATACATTTCATAACAATAGTACCATATTGTAGTATACGAATATTAATGGATTGTCAAACTTCATGGTTTCAAACCTATGACAGACTTCATTTCAACAATCATTGAAAGTCACTAATCAATGGGCACCTGGTGTGCAAACCGATTTCTGACTATTAGTAATTTTCTACTTGCATACGGCCAGTAACACACACAACTGTATGAAGCTGCTTTATTCTCAACTTTGTTACAAATTTTCTAAACAATGTAAACACGCACGCCTAAGGAGAATAACCCTTGCATGAAAACACGTGGTCCATTCTTTGTTTTGTTCTCTTCAACATACAACCATCTTAGCCTCATCTTTATATTCTCTATTCGAACTTGTTTTATTCACACTCTTATTGCTTAAATCTTTCATCAAACGTTTCAGATCTTAGGCGTTTATGTTTCATTATGTGTGGCTACTAAGTGCAGACTGGCTCACAGAACCATGAATTCATCCTTCTCAACTGTAGTCAGAGAACAGTGATTTCAAGAATATTTTCAATTGCGCAGTTATCAACTTAGAATGATTCACTACAACGGTCTTGCATGAGCAATTCAAAAACAGCTATTGAGCCCTGGTAGTTGTGCCGTGCTTCGATGTATCGCTCCTCTCCCGGAGGGCCTATTAGGCTTCACCGTATTCCTATGACTGCAAGGGGGGGGCGATCAGCAGTTACTTTCAGTTGATTTGAGAAATTCAAATAATTAACGTACCTAATAACTTTTCAATAACAGGTTCCATTCTTTGAACATTCATGTCAAACTGTTTCAACCTACCTGTGAAAAGGTATACAAAAGTTTGTCTCGGTTGAAAAAGTCATCTCACTTCATTTCAGAAAAATCAATGTGTGTTTTTATTTTCTTCATGGATCACAGTTTATACGAGATTCAAAGTTCTATATGCAATCACTCATTTATTAACTTAATATGTGCAATGTAATGAGTAACATAGATGATTAAATGTAGGTAACGACTACTCTCTACTCAAGAACGATAAACAGTCTTCACATAGAACTGTCGTTGGTCGTGGAAATGAAAACCTCCATATCCGTGTGAAATAGACGAGTATTACGAATACAATGTCATCTCTAATTTTCATTTGACAAGGATGAAAACAAAATATGATTTCGGTTAATGAACAGTGTTAAATATTGGATAAATGATTCAGTGCATGAGAGAGAGATAAAGAAATGGTAACTTGCGTTTATGACTTTTCATCATTTTTTCAAAAATATCCATATCGATTTGTGAACATTTCGCTTCTAGATATCAGAGAAATTTCAAATATCAACTACTGATTCACACAACAAGTAAATCATGGTTATAGAAATGCATCCCTAAGGAGATGGTAGATTTAGAGTGCTTAAAATTGTTGTGTAGTTGAACTTATCATTTGTATATGTGAATGGGAGTGTAACTAACTCTTTTTACTGATATACAAAATGTGACTTGAATGAAGTAGGATTTTGTTTTGTCCGTTGACGTTTTAAGTAAGTAATACCATAACAAGGACGTCCCATTTTAAGCTCACTGATCGCTAGATTCGAAAAGAATTTCCCATAGTTATAAGAAGAAGTCTTGACCATTACAGCCAACCATGTTGACGATGAGAGTTATCATTCATTATGCTTGTTCGAAAATTACATAATTACTGAATTTGAAAGTGATAACAATCGAAAAATGAGTCAGTGATTTAAATGAATCCTACTTTTCATGAAACATGAATCACAAATATTCTTTCCCATGATTGGTTTACAATGTTGAGGAGATCGTGATCAGCAATAGCCGACTGTGCTGTTCTATCGGCTGTCTTCACGCATTGGGACATTACAAGAAAAGTCATCTTGAAATTACATTCGTTTATCACGCGATCACCAGTGATTTGTAAGCAAACTGATAACTGACAACTACAGAGTACCAGTATAACTGTCACATCATAGCTTTGAAAGTATGCATGAATCAAATCGAGATGTGATCGTTTGTGTACTTGTTAGCCACACTTTTGAAATGTAAACTCCGAAAGTGAATCGAATCTATGCTAACTTAGAGGTATGATTACGGTAAAATGACACAGAAATATTGCGCTATTCGTATAGATCTAATTCATAAATCAAATGGTTTTATCACTAATCACAATGTTTTCAATGACGCTGATCATGAGATTAATGCAAAAGGAGTAATAAAAAGTGATATTATTGGTAATACGAAGCGTTGCTTCATAACCAGGTTTGTTATAGATTATTTCAGCTCTTGTTAGTCGAAAGGACCTGTAACACATTGAAATGGTATCAGTGGATAGATCTGAAACTAAATACATGACAAGGATACAAATGGTCATCTTCACAATTCCGTTTCTACTATGATAGTGTTAAAACAAAGCCACAATCCAAATAGCTTATCAATCAAAGTGGATCACAACAAATCTATGCCAATATAATAATCAGAGCACTATGTTCACGGTAACTAGTCAAGCGTGTTTGAACAAATCATACATCTTATGAATACTCGAATACACTCACCCTTTTGTATGGTTATACACAAAGACAGAATAATGATGATGCCGTTGTATCCCATAGAATGAAGTATGATTCTGATGTCTTTCCTCATAAAACGAAGCCATCTCTATTCTTTTATATAGTGAATACAGAACAAAATTGTTATCATCAATCACATTGTGATGAATACAGTAAAATATTTAAATAACTATGTATGGCGTTTTATCTGATGATTTCAATAATCCATCTTCAAGGTCGTTCCAAATACAAACACTCACACACATATACATCGGAAGTATTTCTTTGATCGTATTATCTTTTGTTATTTAGATTTACTTAATGGATCATTGTTAACAAAAAAACAAAACCAAACTAGTTCTATCTAGACTGTGCCAATCTTCTGTCTGACAAACATTGATACGCTCAAAATATTCTATAAAAGTCCATAAGGAAAGATCATTAGACTGAAGAAATATCTCTTCTTACCAATTAGTTGTTCATTAGGGCTCTATTCAAATAGTTAAGTTTAACAAATGGATAGTAAGTCGATACCCTTCGGATGATGGTGAGTCAAGTTAACAATGTACTTATCAATTAGTATCAACATTTTAAAGATTCAAATCATAACTGAAGTGAGTTTCCATAATCACTTGCCTAATTATCACAACCAGTTTCATGTGACGAACAATGAGAATGGCAATCGCACTTGAATATACGATGTTTCTGTTGCCAATGAAAGTATTGAATCGATTTCAGTAGGATTTATGAAATAAAAATAGACAATAAGACTGAAGTTATCAATGCCATGGTTGGACGTGATAGTTTCAAATAAATGAAGTATTGGGTAGAAAGTTAGGAACCGAATTAAGTTATTTATGTACTCTGACGATGTGGCTTACACTAAATTGTCAAACTTAAAACAACTACTTTTTTCTACTCATTAGGATATAACAAAGCGTATTCTTACTATCAGACAACAGGATTATCAAACACGTTAAACGCTATTAGAATTAGCTACTAATATGCTCACGAAATAGAATTGTGTAAGATTTTGCAAGAGAAGAAAACATTTTGAAAGGAGTTGATTTTCTGTTGACCACAAATATTCGAAATCCCATTTATCTTTTGGCCCAAAGAAATATAGAACACAGTGTTGGATTCAACCATAAGCCAACATCTACGGCTTTTGGTTAGCCTTTTGGTTAACCCATACTCCTTCACAGCAATTAGATGTATAGTTATCTCCATATTGCAAATCGATGAAACAGATCCTCTAATGTGGTTGTTTTCAACTCAACTTCATGGAGAAAGGTAAACTCTTCAGTATTAATTAGAAGCAAATATGTTGTAGAACATCAACGTTGATGATCTATGTCGGATGATTGAAGGCCCGCTTGAGTTAGATGGGGATGGGATGACGAAATACCGAACTTCGAAGTCACACCTCGCGACCAGCACCTCACGTGGATTGACCTATCAACGTATCAAGGGACCAGGGATGCTCGGAATTCTGTACAACACACAGGACGTTATTACAGGAACATATTGGTCAAAGTAGATACAAACGAAAGTAGAACCACTGCCGCATGGGCCACTCCATGGCGTTTGATTAACTGATGCGCGTTTACTATCATTGAGCTTGACGGGGATCGATGATCTTTTCGATATTCAGTGACCCAATTGCCAGATGTTTTGGCTAGGGTTCAGTGACGTTACACTGGCCCTATAATATTTTCACCCTTAGACTACTTATGTATTATATAGATGCTATAATGCGTGTTATTTATTAAACGTAAATTATCAGACCTGCATTTTCGGGTCACTCCCACTGTTACCTGGCTTGAAAACCATTATACGCTAATAATGATTCCATTGTTTTATTAACAAAAGGTTGGTAATGAGTGCCTGCTGTTTGATGACAACGATTCATCATCCCATATCGCTTTTTGTGTTATTCTATAACTCAGCTCTTAATTCTCAACAGCTAATACTTATTGTGACGGATTTTGACAAGCGCAAAACCGTGTTCATGAGTTTCTCCAAAATCTTAACGAATCAATGTTAGTTTCTTCATGTAAAATTAACCGTAATCATCTCATACAGACTCGGGTTTACTTTACATCTACATTATTGTTATCCAGTTTTAAACTTCAACGGATTTCCTATTCATCTATCTGAAGATGACAAATTTTATCAAAAACATACAAACGAAGTTAGAAACACAGTTTGTCAATTTTTAACGGACAAATTCAAGCTCGAACTATCTAAGCCACAGTTGATATTTCTAGAACAGAACTTCGATTTAGGTCATAAATGATGTAGTAATGATTCAGGAGAAGTTAAATCTAATGTCTCGTCACTTTTTAATCGTAACAATTAACTAATATCACCTTGTAGGTGAATGCTTAACCATCATTGGAATTACTTTGGTATTGTGAGCTTTTCCTTGAAATGAAATTAAATTGCTAGATTACTTATTGTTCTTTTACAATAATCCTTTTAACTAGCATGATAGTACATATATTTCTAAGCTACCTCTTTATTAATCAGACAACTATTTTTATTACACTTAAGAATACTCTTAAGAAACAATTCTGTGATAACAGGAAAAGTATTGAGGGTGATAGAATCCTTGAAACTAATTTTCGAACTGATGTTGTTTATATTCTTGCATAAATACTAGGTAACTGGACTACCGTGATTCTATATTCTGCTCATTGTAGGCTTATAGTTTACTCGTCAACTATCGCTGTGCATCTCATCAGTCGTAATCAACTATCTATGTTCACCTGGTTCGCAGCCATTAATTGTCTGTTTGAGCATAACTATGAGTTTCCATTTAATGGACTAGCCTAGTTTGGTTTGTCTGTGAATGAACTTGTGGTTTGAAAAGATGAAAGTAGGAGCTTGATTGCAGAATTTCTTCTCACACTCGTGGTTGCGGATGGATGGAGAGGTGTGGACAAACGTAAAAATGGAGATGCAGCTTACTGTGGTGTTTAAATAAATCAATGACTTCTTCGTATTGATGACTGTTGTAATTTTGAATTCCAAATACAATACATTCGTTCGGGCTCATCTGATACTTCTTGATTAAATTGCGTTATTCCTGGGATTACTAGTTTATACAATAATTCAAATACTTCTGATTATCATATTGGCGTCGCGACTGAGCCTGTGATGGAACGATTAAACATAAATTCAGATTTTAATGCTTTTGAAGAGTACATGGAAAGGTTCGAAATCTGGGCTATGACCAAGGAAGATTGTGAGGATTTTAATATTGTGGCCCATTTCCTTACATTCATCGGGAAAGAAGCATACAGCCGTATAAAGATTTTGGCACTTCCAGACAAACCGATTTCACTCCCCTATGCAACTCTCAAGCAACTGCTGTTGGATCATGTAAAGTATACAAATTCCGAATGCGGTAAGAAAGGAAAATCCGATAAAATGACTCGTCAGAACATCAGGAATTCCACTTATTCAAACAGTCGTCGTAGTTCGATGCGTAATGAAAGTTATTCAGACAATACTTCATTGAGTTGTGAAACAGTCCATGATGATGAGCACGAGTTTAGTAAATGCATGTTCTGCGGCAAGTTTCACCCATGTAATTCATGTATATTTCGTAATTCTAAATGCTTTAAATGTGGTATAACTGGTCATATTCAGTCAGTTTGTAATACCATGGTTCATTTCGCTGAAAGTAATGCTAAGATGGATGCTTCTAATGATCAGTTATCTTTATTTAGAAGTGGTATAACGTCACATAGCAGTCCAGAGTTAACTGAAACTCAGAATCATTGTGAGACAAAAAATTTTAACCAACAAACTTATCGGATTTCTCATGATATTGAACCAGATATGGTTTGTCGTAATAATTCACATACTTCTGATGGAATTTCTTACAACTCTGAGAATAGAATGCTAAATGAGTCAAATCATGATCAAAAACCAAATTCAGTTTTGGTAGATGCTGTATTCTCTGATGATTCATTATTCTCTAATGAAACTCTTAATCAATCTGAGCAAAATATTTCAGAAGAATCGAATTATGATATCATATCAAGTGTCAGTGGTCCTCACAATCAATTTATCTCTAATGATATTCCTTATGAATGTGAAAAATATGTTCCGAATGAGTCGAATTGTAGTCATATTTCTGATGTTATTGTATCAGATATTGGATACTCTCACGAACAATGTATGTTGAATAGAATCCTTAGTCAGGGGTATCATGAATCAGAGGGGATAGCAAAATTTACCGAAATAATCAGAGAACCAGCTTGCCCAGAAGTGAAGCTTGCACAGACAGAGAATCCAAATCAAATCCAAGATTATCCTAAAGAATATGAGGCAGATGAATGTTTTTTATTCGATTGTTTCACAGTTACATATATCAATGCATATCTATCTGTGTATTCTAATTTGAATAACAAAAAGAATATGTATCATGATTTTTATTCAAGTCAAAGTCACCTCAAATTATATATCAGTGTTTATCCTCAAATACTCACATACAGTAGTCGGTGCGTAAGAGTTGAGAAGATAATGCAAATTGGGAACGTCATATTGGCTAAAACATTGCGAAGTAAGGACCCAACATTATTTCGTGGGGGAGGATATTGTTGGAAAGTCCATGATGCAAATTCTAAATATCAATGGTTTCACTACAAAGACGGAGTGCTGATTGTATACAATTCCAGAACCCAGGTTAGTCTGTTCCAA